TCACAGACGCTTTGGGTCTGAGCGCACAAAGCTCGAGGTGAGCGAGCGCAGCAATCTATTGCTTTTGTTCAGTGTACGACAAAGACGCTCACAAACTTTTCTTTTTGACACAATCTTAAAAAAAAAACGCCATGCAATTTATTCCCCGAGGCACTGTAACAATGCTTAGCATTAAAAGAAAAAACATCTCACTGCCTGGTGATTGACTCTGAAGAAAGAAAAGTAACTGAGAATGAATAAAATAGCAAAATGACTTTAACGGAACAATATATTCAAGGATTTTATTCTGAATGCTGGTATTGATTGATTGCTCTGTGCAGTAAACAGATGTCATCTCATAATTTTTCATGACATGCTGCCTGAAATAGGATTGTGTCAGTTATCAATCACACTGACTCCAGTTGTGTCAATCGACCAAATGCTGCTGTGATAAATTGTATTTCTAAACATATCTGTGGTTGTCATCTTGATATTGCGGGTGCAGCTCAAAGCTCGCACAACTACCGATGACGGCACTTTGCAATTTGATTGTGTATCAATCTGAATTCAGCTTTAATTCAGCCTTTTCCTTCCAAGGGAAAAGAAACATAACTACTGCAAATACTCACCAAACTGTGTTTTCTCCAGATCACTTCTAAATCCAATCCAAGCATCCGAAAGTCTTAAGAACATGAGGGAGATGTGACCTTGATACTTACGCTAAAAAAAAAGTTATCTGAAAGCTTGTCAAATTATGGGAGTTCTTCTTTCAAGCTGCAAATTGACAAAATAAATAACTTCTGAATTAATCAATGACTAGATATATATTTAATTGACAATGATTGTGTTGAACCTTGATTTTCAGTGAATGTGAATTTTTATTCTTAAAATAGGAAATTATCAAGACAACCACTGATTTATTTACTGCCTCAAGCCTGTATCTAGTTAGTCCTTCGCTGTCATGTAACTTACCCCCCAAAAAGAAAGAATTAATTGCAGTCCACCATTTACTGATCGGGCCAGTAAATAAATAAATAAATAAATAAATACTTACTTACTTACCCTGACTAACAACTGTGCTGTCCTAGCTTCAGCCAAAGTTAGACTTTTTTGTAAAATTTCTGTGTCAACACCATGCCTTCATCTATTTTTGAGTGAGGGTCCTGAAAGGCTTTGTTCATTTTTCCTGTTTCCACTGTGAAGACTCTTTCAACTATGCCGAGCCAGTTTTTTTTTTATGTGCACTATTTGATCTAAGTGGGGATCCAAAAATCCAACATGAACCTGTGCCAGACATACCACCATGGCTGGGTCCCACCATTCCAAGAGTTATACTTTAACTGTCCAAACAGATTCCCAATCAGCCAAAGAAAGAGACTGAGTGAGCTCTGCCTATCTGCCAAGATACTTATTGATCCGGATCAAGTGAGGTGCTTCATTCTGCCTAATATTGCTGTTGTCCGGTGCAATAAAAGATGATTGATCACATATACACTAAATTGTTTTTCCTAAGATATCCTTTTACTTAAACGTTTTAAAACTGGAATTCAAACATTTACACAACTGTAACTCAAAAATCACAACAATGTTTCAACATTAAACTGTACTTTATGTAATATAGCTTTTAATTTGCACCAATAAAGATCAAATCACATCAGGAGGCCTGAAACTAAAAGTGAACTGATCACCTGACCTGCTTTCTGATCAATTCAGGTAATATTTCTCTGACCGCTTTGGGGCACTCATGGAGCATTAATGCATTTCCAGGTAAACAGTTGATCCTTAAAAACAGAAGAAACATACTCAGAAGTAACATACTCAGCCCTGAGGGGCAGAACACTGAACTTCACACCCCAGAGCTCAACATGCACTATTTAAACTAGACGAACATCAAAAGTGGCACACATTTTCCAAAAACATAAAATACTGTATGTTCCAACCTCACACTCAGTCATTGCAGGTTTTTAAAACGCCAATTTACACAGCAGATTTGACTTTTACTCAGACAAAAGTATTTTGAGCAATCAAAACACTATTATTTAATTAGCTGAATAATATTTGATGATCCTAAACTTGATTATTAATTTCATCCTTTTGTCCATATTTCCATTTTATTAGAATAAAGTGTTGATTATATTTGCTTTAACTCTATGCAAATTCTAGATTCTAAGATGCTTCCTTTAATTTGAAATAAGTCTTCCTCAATGAAAAGGCATGTCATTTATACTTCAGACAAATTTTTACACATTATGGGGCTGATTTTATTTTATGAAGACTAATATAAATACATTTAGTTCAAATTTACTACAAGGAATACTTTTTTTTAAATATTGCTTAAGGGAAAAAAAAGGCCTGGGATGCACCAGGAATTGTAAAGCATTGTGCAATAATGCATGAAGGGGAAATGGGAGCAATGACTCCTGATGTAACTCATGTTGCTCTGTGATTTGATCCAGTGTAGGAAAAATATTGCTGCACTTCTGGGTAAAGTACATCACTTTATTCTCTCTGATCTTGTTAAAAGCTTACTTACTTGGTCTACTTAGAGTTAAGTATTCACCATGTGTAACCAGACAGTTTTAACAAACCGTGTTTGGGCAGGCCTCTGCAGACCCCGCTCACCACTTGAATTGTAAAATGTTTTGCTTCGCTCGCCCAAAGCAGAGATACACATAAGTCAAAGCAACACAATATTGTGTTCTTTGATCAAGTGGCAATCTTAGATGTGGAACAACACAGCCACAAACGTCAGCTTCCCACATTACCTTTTTATTTACAGCCAGCAATAAGCCGTATGAAACACACTTGATGCCAGAGAGCTGATGGATTCCACAACTGCATGTTACAGGAATCATCTGGCAGAGAACAAGTGCGGCAAACAGCTCATCAACTGCAAAGTAATCTACCAACTCTGTATCATTAGGCTGCCTGTCCACAGCATTCATAACCCCAGCTGAGGGATGCTGCAGCACATCAAATTGTAAGCTTTATAAAACACCTCAATCCGCCGTGACAGATAGATATAAACAGTTCTTCGGTAAATAGAGATGACCCCCGAAGGTTACCATCACTCACTCACACAGATAAATGCTCCATAAAGACTCAAAGTGCCTCATGACAACTCGACAAAGCTCTGGCGTCATAAAACAAAAAACGTATGATTGCTGTTCAACCTGTTAAACTCCATTTGAAAGCCGCAATACATACTGATGAAAAAGTCTCAAACTCCTAGCAGTTTGTATAGCATTTATTCCCAGCTTTAGATTGGTTTCTCTTGAAGTGTAACCCTGCAAATTAGTGCTAAACATGTTGCAAGATAATATAATATAAAAGTGTTGGCACAGTGGTAAATGCAATGTTAACAGCACGGCATTTTCACTTAATAATCAGATCTAATCTGACATCAAGGCCAAGACGCTATGATAACGGCACAATTTATTTTCTGGCAAACACAACTATACTACAGCTGAACTGTTTAAGAAGCAAGGCTTTAAATTCATAGATGGAGATAATGCCACACACTGTATTCACAGCTGTTAAGTCACAACCACAAACTTTAATGTATTCAATTGGAATCCTGCTTAGAACATAAGTAGGAAATGAAAGAAAATTATACATGATTTTTCTTTCGGTAATACAAATCTTACAACTGAAGCACGCACATTTTTATTCAGTGCCCCCAGAGATATTAGTAAATAAGTATATTTAATATATATATATATATATATATATATATATATATATATATATATATATATATATATATATATATATATATATATATATATATATATATATATATCCACACAGACAAAAAAAACCTGACGAAATGAAAGCATGAAACAAAAAATCTGCAGTCTAGTACTTGCTAAAAAAAATCTTTGCTAAATAAAAGTTTCTTTAGCTGCTTTTTCAAAGAATGGAGCAAATCAATGCAGCGAAAAGAAGGTGGCAACGTGTTCCCCAACTTGGGAAACACAGCTTTAAAAAAAAAAAAAAACCTGTCACCCGTGACTAGCTGATCTAAGGTTTCGGGATGTGTTATGGAGTACTTATAAGGTCAGAAATGTAAGCTGGGGCTACACTGTGCAAGTCTCTTTCTTGTTTTGGTTAAAAGCCTTGGAGCAGAGTTCTGTGCTCACTATTCACTGTTCACTACTTTTTTTTATTATTATTATTTAAGCAGGTAAAAAGACTGTTATGGTGCTTCACTTGAGAAGAGATAAATGCATGAATAATCACCTCCATCTCAGTTTTTGACATGATGTATCATGGTTTGGAGATGTTCCTTAACTGAAAGTAGCTGTTTTTGATATTTAAAAGAAAAAAAAGAATCTCAGAGTTAGAGTTGAAAATCACACCAAGGTTTCCGAGGCTTGGCAAGAAAGTCAAAGCCCACATACACTCAGGTGCTGCTTGATATCAGGACTGTGACTGTCAGGAGCAATGATCATAGTTTCTGTTTTATCCCAGTTTAATCTCAGGAACATACCAGATATGTCAGAGATAAAGTTATAAAAAAAAGTTTAAAGAAGAGTAAGGGAATAAAACCATATCCCAACATTTCACAGAGAACCGTTTAATCTGTGATCTGAAAATGTCCTATTAGCCCAGTAATTTACAAATTTAGCTTTATTGTGTCCAACAGATAAAACTTCAATAAAATACATTGGAGTTCATGGTTTTGCTGTGACAACACGTGAAAACGTACATGGAGTTTAAATCCTGTTGCAAAGCCCTGTAAATACGATTATTGCTGCTGATGAGTTATGTAATTCTGAGTTTAATAGCACTCCCCAGCAAAGACCAATTCAACAGTCAACAGACCATTTAAGCCTGATTAGTCTCAGACTGGCTTTTAATTTGATGTGCATGCAGACCTCAAATTGCCAGGTGGGTAAGACGTCCGTCATCTACACAGATGCATAGCAAATGAGGTTGTGCGATTCAGCTATGGACCAATCATTTATATTCAAAAGTTAAGGAAAGTGAAATAGGAAAAGGGCAATGGCTTCTTCGAAGCTGGAATTTACTTTTCACTCTGCAATGTGTCGTACCTTATCAGAGTTTTCTTCGATCCACTTCTTTACTGTGCCCAGAGCGATGTCGGCTGCAGGCTCGTTGGGATAGCCTGAGGAGACAAAAACAGTGTAAACAGCAGTTGTATTCAGCATGCAGATGTCAAATGGGAGACAAAAAAAGTCAGTCAGGCAAGCAAACACAGAAAACTGATATCTCCACAGGTAGCAGCAGAATTCCTCCTGAATCAATGAAAAGCAACCTGCTCGTATCAGCGAGATGAGACCAACTGTCTGATCAACTGCTGTTGACGAATGCTGCCAGATGCAGGGTGATGTGAAAACACAGAGAGACAATATTGCAGGGTCTTCAAAGTGTGGATACAAGCTACACACACACGCACAATCACACCCTCACTCATTACCACCTCAAGCAGAACTGATTAATGTTTTATCTTTATGGGGAAATTACACTTTGATGTGTGATCATGCACACCATTCCTTTGTTTTATCAGCTTGCCAACATGAACCTGGAGTCTAGGCACAATGCAGCAAACCATCATATTAACAGTTGTGTCAGCAGAGGAACCGTAACAGTTTGTTAACACTCTGAAGAAAAACTGTTCCTTGATTATTTTCTAATTAGACCAGGAAAAGGAAGACTGCTGGAAACTAATCTGTAGATCACTTGCTGCCAGTGTAGATAACTTCACAGGACCCAACTCCAACAGCGAGATATTGACTTAAAAATCCTCTGGGGCTGCTTTACTACCATGGTAGAGTAAATATGCCAGAACCAAAAGAGCTGACAAATTACTACCAAGAAGTTCCTCAGCTGTCCTGATTTTAAAGTAACTACACATTACCTGGCTGAATAAAATATATATCACCTTTATAAAAAACCTTCTAAGGTTTGGAAAATTACTACAGAGAATATTAACTTTCTAATTACTATTCTTCTCCTGTCTGTGGAAGGTTTTTTCTGGTTATATATGCTTAGCTGTCTCTCTTTCATGGAATGAGCCGTCCAGCTTTTGTGCTCTTAATTTTTTCCATAGAAAGTTCTGCTGGTCTAGTGATTCTGTGTATAACTATGTGTTTCCTGGACACAGCCATTGGGCCATTAATCTGTTTTTTCTTTTCATAGTAGGTACTCCTAGTGGAAAGCTTTTGCTACCAATAAATATGTGTACCATGTTTGTTTTACTTTCCATTCTCCCAGTGGATTTTGCATTTAGGTGGGTGTCTTACAGAAGTAGCCATTGACATTGGTGCAATGAACAATGAGTACTCATTTTTACTTCCTTAGAAAGTGACAGATCTGTTGGTGCCAATAGATAAGTGCTGTTTTTACGGGAAAGATTAAAAAGAGCACTAAATAAATGAGCATACTCATTTATTTAGAGTATGCTTCCTTTTCTGTTAGCTCCAAGTCATTAATGACAGCTGGCCACTCTGGAGGTTTCTCACAGTCAAGGGATAATATTTCCTCCCCACTGTCACCCCATGTTTGCGCAGGATAAGAAATTCCTGTTGAATTTTCCTATTTGGGATTAAATAACATAATTTGACTGAACTGCATGTGAACCTAACTGAATTTCTGACTAAACTGTTAAATTTACCCAGATATGAAGTGGAACTGGATACTTTTAAAGTGTTTTGAGATCACCCAGGGTTTCCTGTGTTGAGAAGCTATAAAGCTAAACTGAATTTAATATTGTATTTCTGCATTCATTGGTTTCAACTTTACCCGCCTCTCATTATGATCCCGTATCTGTAAGATTATTGATGGACATGAAAGATGGGGATAAAGAGAACACTTAAACTGCTAAAGTATAGCAAAGAACTGTACAATACTTGAGTAAAAATGTGAAGGCAGTGATTAACAATCATTTTTCCAGGGGAAAGATGGAGAGAAAATAGTGATCAGACAACACCCACATTTTTCTTCCATTTTGTAAGGATTTAACTCTGTTTAATGCATGGTCTGAAGAAAATTGCTTAACATCAAGCCTATAGTCAAAAAGTAAAATTTAAGTTTTCCACAAGGGATAATAACTGAACTCCTAAATGATGGAAAAAGGCATTACATTTGGATGACTTCACATTAACCCTGATCCAGCAGCATTGGGTGCATTGGGGTAAGAACCTAGGTGGAGGAAGTGATGCATGATGTCTTAAGCTCATCGTTCAAGCTTGTGGGGGCAGTTTTATAATTTAAGGTTGCTTCAGTTGGTCAGGTCATGATCAGCACTGTTAGAAGTCCAAAAAAATTAGGTCAGCTGTCTACACAAAAATACAGCATTTCATTTCCTGGCATATTATGAGATGACAATGCCAGAAATCATCAAGTTCAAAGTAGAAAAAAGTGGATCTCAAGGAGCTGAAAACATTTCTACATAAGTCCAGACCTTAACCCCATTAGGAATCATTAAGACGACAATATAGAAAGTTCTGACTCTTTTGTCATCAATACAGGATTGCAAATTCATGACTTGATGTTGCTGCTTGTGTTTTTGAATAAATATTTTAAGTTTTGAATGTACTCCATAAGGTAGTTAGCTGCTGGCTGTCCTGGAAGTATCCTGATAGCAACGTGTGTCCAGTGCAAAATGCGATGCCAACAAACAAGCATGGCATGTTTCTTCAGCCACTGTGACCCAGTACAGGATTTAAGACTCTGTTTAAAACCCCCGACCTCGTAAAGAACTACAGGTTGCAGCAGACAGTCCAACAACAAAGGTTAACACCTCAATTTCAACCAGCATCAACTGATCCAATGGCCAGGTCACGCTGTACCTTGTTAGTTAGCACATGGGTCATATTTTCAAATGTAGACTTTTTTTTTATTTTGTTCAATCATTGACATCAGAGTGTGACCCATGAAACAGCTTTACAAGAACAGCATCAACCTGTCCTTAACAGATGTAAAGGAAACTGAAAGGACGTAAAGACTTAACCTGAGCATTTATTGATTTCTTTCCCTTATCTGTGACTCCTCCCGTCAAAGCCGCTCAGTAGCTCCTACCAAAATTCTCATAATCACCTGCTTAAATAGTCAATAAACAACATATGCAGATTCATGCTCTGGATCTTCACCTATGTGACTGCTGCTGATGCCTCTCTCCTTTTCTCTGTTTTTCTCCTCCTCTTTCTCAGTTTGACAGGAGTGGCCGAGTTACACTGATGAGAGAAGAGGGGGCTGAGACACTGCCAAGCCCTCGCCAAGTTCCCATTCAAGCTCAGGGTGAGGCAAGATGTGAGCTGCATACCAGCCAGCAGTGACTGCCAGCCTGCTCCTACAGCTCTGTTCTGCAGCATCTGCAGACAGTGCAAAGTCTGTTCACGGCTCCTGTCCTTTAACAGGAGCCCCCAAGAGCCATGCGCTCAGGAGCTAATCCAGAATGCCAAAATCTTCTAGTCACCTGACTTCTCCTACATCTCAAGCACACTTAACCTTTTCAGATGCATTTTTTTTTTCCTGCTGATGCTTCCTTTTAAGAAGCTGTTCCCACACCTGTGCAGGTGTACCAACACCCAACTTGCACATCAAGTAACATAGGCAAACAGATGTGCAGCAGACAGGAAAGCTGAGGAAAGTAGTTTCGGGGAGATGGGACCAGCTGTTCAGTTAGCACAGACACAAGAAGTGTCAGAAGCACATAAACAAATGAACAAAAAAAATGTAAATAAAGAATTAAGTATCTACCTCTGGTAAACTTCTTCCAAAACGGAGACTAAAACATAATAATAGTTCTCCACGTCACCATAAATGAGCTAAAGGTACAGAGAGCATTCAATCCATTCAGAACAGTTCTATAAATTCTCTATTGATTTGACAACTACAGCTATTAATCATAGCAGAGCTGGACAGAACATGGGTTGAAAGAAGTGAACCAGAGGCCTAATTTAGAAAAAAAGAAAAAAGAAAAAGAAAACTATTAAATCAATACATTCACACCACCTAAGATCAGAAAAGACACGATAAAATGAGATCTGGCAGGAAAAGAAGTGTCAGTTGAGCTGCAGGTGGCCTGGCAGAGGAACTCAAAGTTACAAAGTTATGACAGCACCAATTTGAGTGGATCAGCAGCTTTCTCTCATCATGCTACTTTAAACTTTCCTCTCCTCTCCTCTCTCTTTGCCTCTCTGTCTCTTTCAGCTTGGCCAAGTATGTTTAAACTGAGAGGAATGGATACAATAAAGTACTTTAAAACTCAACCTCTAGCACCACTCCTGGGCTTCCGAGTCCAGGCACCACCGGCAGCACTGCTGACACAATCCACTTTCTGAAAGATGTGCAGCACAGGATTGAGCCGAGTCCTTTATATGCTGAAGTGCACACAAAATGCACAAATTCTGTGCTGCTCTTACATCTCTTCCCCTCAACCGCCTCCTTTCTAGGGTTTCCTGTGTGCAGCGTTTAGGAGAAGCCAATCTGTCAGGTGGTGAGGCGCTAGCATTAGCCACAGTGGTGGTGGGCCCTCCAGGGTCTCTGCTCAATTTGGCTCGCCTCTCTACTATGCTGGGAATATGGCTGGCTCAGAGAGATTTGTCTTAGTGAGGTGCACTGATGGGAAATGCGCGGTGCAGCGCCCCTGATGAGGGCTCAGGTGGTGCAGTGTTATTTCAGCTGAAGGCTTCTCTACTTTATCACCCAGCAGAGAGCAGCATCCGGAGAAAAAGGATCCAATGGCACGTGCCATGTTTTACGAAGGCACTTTGTGAGAATGTTTCCATAAGAGACTGAAAAACAGCTAAAACAATTGTAAATGTCACATTCAGTTCATGGTATTTGATATCATACAGGTCGAAGGCAGCCTCTCCCAGTGCGCCATTAGTTCCTTTTAGCTAGTTCTGGAATATATTTAAATGCTAATTAAATATATTTAAAATGGTGTGGTTCAATGTTGTTTTACAAGGCAGATAATCTTGTCTTACTCCTGTTAGAGATATAAAGTTTTTATTTAAAACAAGTTTTTTAAAAAGAAAAAAGAAACATTTCTGTCCAATTAAAATCTTCCTTCCTGCTATTAGTGACTCAGAAAATATAGTCTTAAATTATACAAATACAAAACAAGAAACAATGTTTAAAAAGCTAAAAGTTTTTGTC